CACTCCACCACTTCACATCTGATCCCAGCACTGCTCACTACCATGTGCATATGCTCTTCTCCTGGATGTGGAGAGGTAGTTTCTCTCTTTCCCCAAAAGTTTTTGTCAATACCCTGTGTACTATTAATGTCTTTGTTCTCACCAAGCTGGATATGCCCTCATTTGTAGGAATTCAGTTGAACAGCCTTTTCCTGCTTGTTGAAGGTGCTTCAGGTTTCAGAAAGGGGTAGGCTGTCTGGAGTCTCAGCATCCATACTGCTTGTGTGACTTGCTGCTTAACATTACTTAAAACTATCCTTATTTTCCATTTCCTCTACTGCTCCAATTATTTTTTCTTTTTATTCTGTAGTCATTCCTGGAGGCACAAATTGAAAAGATAGAAATAGATGAAGGCAATTGTATGCCTGGAAGACATCCTCTCCTTCGAACACTTCTTGATTTGCCTCCCAACAGCTTCATTGCAAGGATGCTAGTGAATATTGCCAGCTCGGCACATGTAATTATTTTTTTTAATTTGTTCTGCCTCCATTGCCTGCATGAATTGTTTGTTTCAAACTTAAAGCCCCTGTGTGGTGACAATTTACTGTCTGCAGCCAGAAGTAGAGGATTTGTTGTTGCCAGCATCACTGATTCAACCTGCAATTTACTTTGCCTAATGGCATGGGGTCATTCCATTGCTTTAATTCAGCTTTGCATGGTTACAATTCCTTTCCCTCCTTGGCATAGCTGCAAGGAAGCCCTTGCATCCTAACACATTTAGTAATGTCCCACTGTCTCTGTGGCATTCATTTTTCTAAGTGCTGCTGCTCTTTCTTGGCACATAGCTCAGAGTTTTGTTTTTGCTCTTTTGCACCATATTAATGTCATTGCTGTGCATTCTATCATGTGCACATTTTTCTCACAGCACTAAAGGTCTTCCCTGATGTCTTCTGCTTCATATTCATGCATTTGCTTTTGATATTATTTTATGCTTTTCAGTTCTACCTTCTGAACTATCCATGTCTTCCCCACCTACACTCTGCTTTGCAGCAGCTTTAAACACTGCTATAGTATACTATCAGTGAGGACAGCTTTTCTTTCAGCAGTCTCATTGCACTTTTTTCCCACTTATGAATCTAACACTAATTATTTCAGGTTTAAGATTGCGTACTCGCATGAGTCAGCCATTTTCTGCACAGTTTGGCTGCATACCAATGTATTGTTTCTCCAGCTTCTTGATTACACAACTGTGGGGAAGATACCTTCCCTATGTGCCATTTTTCTGAGGACTGGAAATGCTTCTGAGACATTTCTAGGATTTTGCATGGAGTTCTTCCAGTTTGCAGTTGGTATGCATCCAGATACTGCAGAAACACATGGGAGTTATAGCCCAGTACAGCTAAGAGCAGGAATGGGCTTCTTTTGGCTTCCTCTTTACCCAGCCCCACAGCAATGGGTTACAAACCCCATGTCACTCTAAGAAAGGGCTAGCAGAGCTAATGCCAATACTTCCTCCTTTATTTTCTGCAGCTTTGGGGCAAGACCCTGCTATGAACCCATGATGTCTTCTCTGTACTTCTGAGTTTTGGGGAAGTGTAGTCTTGCCTCTTTTTTCCAAGTCTTCACAACTGTCTGTGACACATGGCTGCCTAATCTCTTTTGCCACAATATCCAAAGTCCACTCTGGCACTGAATATGAGGGAGAGCCAGGGAGCCAGTGCTGGTCGATGGTTCTTCTCCCCTTTACCTCCTGCTCTGGGAGTGCTTTGATGGCAAGGAGCTCCCCTGCTTTCCAGCAGAGCTACTTTCTCTTCTGGAGCTCACACAGCCTGTCCCAAAAGGAAATTGCTGGGTCTTCCTTTGTTGTGCCAGGACAGACTTAAGTAGTCAACTAGGGAAGGACTGCTGTAATGGAGACTGTGGATTTTGTACAGGAGTCAAAGCAAGAGACAGCTGTGCAGCCTGAAAGATGATCAGAAGATAAAATGACAAAGGCTGAATTTCTAAAGACATTATACTGCCAATTAAAAGTCTGAAATCTTCCTGGCTTGCTCTGCCCCAGAAATTCAGATCAAATCATTCACTGAGCTGTTCCTACAAAAGGAACTGGAAATTCAATAGGTCACATTGTCAGCTAGAATAAGTCCACTGACTCCAGGGGAACTACTCCACTTTCTGTCATCAGAGAACCTGGCCCCATGACCACGAGCTTCAGATTTTCCACATGGCTGTTTCCTTGGGACTTACATCATCACCCTGAACAACAAGAAGAGTTCAAGGTCACAGTGAAGAAAGATTTTTAAAGAAGCAAAACAAGAGACCCAAAAAAAGCTCAAGTTCATGCTGTGCCTCATAATACCACCTGGTTTAGTGGACCTGTGGATCAGTATCTTCCTCAGGTTCCATGTGATTGGTGCCATATGTTAGTGCTGAGTCCTTCAACTCAGGACCATAAATGGTGGAGGTCAAGGACCCACAGGGCAGCTGTGCTATGACTTTGCTTCTTGCCAGTCCCATCCCATCTACAATACAGTACTTGTGGCATCATGGTACAGATAAGGAAGGCCTTCAAAGTGTTAGTTTCCTTTACTGTTCTCTCCTAATCTGCTGTTCACCGACATAGAAAGGAATATCTTTTATCTCAGTTTTACAGTAAGAACCCAAATCATAAAGTAACACGTAGGATTTCCAGGATGAGCAATGCCAATGAAAACAAGCTTTAAAAATTCTGCCTGAAATTTCCAAAGCATGACATTCTCCCCAAGGCAGAAAGCCTGCAGACAGTTCTGTGTATCAATTAAGAGGTGCTAAGTCACTTCTTCAGCCTCACATGGGCTGCTCCATCAGTTAGATTCAGCTAAAATCAGTTAGGAAGAAGAACTCAGTGCTGCTATGAAGAAGAATGATCATTACCTAACACATCTTTCCTTGCAAAGGCATGAGTTCAGTAATTTACAGGTTCTTTCCTATTTCTGACTACTGTGATCTTATATGCTGTATATCATCTTAACAAAATAAGAGCTTTGGTGTTATTCCTTCCTGTCCTCTGCTGTCACCCCAAACCTTTTATGTGAGGACTGAAAATCTAAACTGTTTGTTTCAAAATTGTCAGAACAGCAGGGGTAAAAACTCTCTAAAACGAGATACTAATTATTAATGTGTATGCTTTTCACATCCATCTCCTACTCAATGGAATGATTCAGTTGAACATTGCTCAGTGAGAAGATCCATTTCTCATACTTCTTTAATTTTTTATCCATTCGTAAAGTTTCCCAAGACCTAGACAGCAATAAGACAGCAAAGAAATTGCCCAAGGCATCCTCTTAAAGAAGCATATGGGCTGGGTTCTGTTCTGCCACAGATTAGTCTAAATTGGTAGTTATTCCATTATGTCAGTGAAACTGAACTGCTGAAATGCAGAGGCGAATCTGGCCCCATGATCTAATTCCATGATGAAATTGCTAGTGTAAATAAATGACTGCTGCTGTTCAGTGCTTCCCCCTTCACTCCCCAAAGTGCCCTAATGAATAATGAGTTTTATGAATAAGCTTTAATGAATGACTGAACACATTTTAACTGTAAGTTAGAACACTTTCCTTCGCACTTTCCTCCGCTGCTTTCCTTTGCTTCCTTGAACCAGAGAATTGCCCTCTTAAACTACCTGTCAATCACACATACAATTACCATGTCTCAAAAGGTGTTACCAAACAGCAAAAGTGTCCAGTTTTTAATTCCAAGAAAAACATTCCATATTTGTTTTAAACATCTAACTCAGGTTTCAAAATGCAAGTGCTGAAACAGAAGAAACCTCTAAGCATTTATTCCTTCCTTCCCTCCGCCCCCCAAGATTAAAATCCATTCATTTCAATCAAGTCATTCAGAGGAAGGCTGTAAAATGAATGACATAATTAGCCACTTAATATACTGCATATGGAATTTTAATTTCAGATGAAAATCAGAGAGGCTTTTCTAAAGCTCTTCACTGAGAGAAAAAAATAGTGGTATGTGAAGACAGCTAATGCTTTACAGTTTAGTGCTAATTTTTTGTCTGAGTTCCCTAATACTCTCGGCATTACTTAATAAATTTACTGAATTTACTGAAATTTACTCAGGTTTACTGAATAAACCTTCTTGAGTTCCATCAGAAGGGGCAAATATACCTTTACAGAGTGAAGAAGTCAGGAAGACGGTGAGACTAAGGACCTACTTTTGCCAGGTTACAATGCAATCACAAAGAATGAAGTGACTGCTTCCTCTGACTGAATCCTGTGGGAACCAGTTTGGGGACAATTTTCTGAAATGTCTTCCAAGAGGCTGAAGCACAAAAGTCAAAAATTAAGGCACATCCAAATGGGTCTGTACTTCTGAAAACACTCATTCTCATGACTCCCAAAGTCATATGAGTAATATGTATCTGATCCAGAAACAGTTTTAACCAAACTCCCGCTGACCAACACTGTGGGATTTTATGGCTACAGCCTAAATATTTATCAAAATTAAATCAATATTAATCAAAATTAAAAAAAAAAAAAAAACAAAACAAAACCAAAACAACCACCCCACAAGAGAGCTAGAAGGCAATTGGACTGTTCACTATCAGATGAACTTCACTGTCTCTGTAACCAGTCCATCCTGTTCAATCCTGTTGGCCACTCATTTCTGTCCTGCTTGTATTGACATATTCTGCAGGCTTTTATCCACATTACTGAGTCAGGCAACACCAGAAGATGACCCATTAGCCTATTAGATTAAACAAGATATACTAAACAGGAGATAATAGTCAAAGGGGAGGGAATGGGAACAAGTCAACATTACTCAAGGGTTAGAAAGATGTTCCAAAATGTAATCTGTGCTCATTACCTTGAGTAAATATACAGCCAACCTCCATTTGCACAAGCCTTCATCACATGAAGTGATAATTTCAGGGAGAAAAAACCACATTCCAGCAGTGTGGAATTTGTGCAATGAAATACTCTTCCCCACATGTGCTCCTCCCAGACTTTGGGAACAATTTCATTTACCTGCATTACTTTCACTGCTCGCTGATGACTTTCAGATCCATCTGCCCATACCACAGGGAATGCAGCAAGAAGTACAATGCTTCTTCTGTGGAAAAAAAAAAAAGTCCCAAGAAAACTTTGGAGACAGAAGGAAAGGTTAAAAAACTTGTGATTAAAGTATTGAAATCCTTTGGCATTGATCTACATCCCAGATTACCTCAATTGTACTACCCTCTTTCTTTTTTTGTTTTGTTCTTTTTGTAAAAGTCAAAACAACTGTATTAAAATATGCTTATAAGTCCATAATATTTCTGTTCTTTTATTTGGATTTTTTTTTTCAATGATTAAAATAAACTTTCTAAACCTCATTTGCTCTTTGCATGTGAGATTTTTTCTTATTTTGGTCTGAGAGAGAGTTTAAGGAGGAACCTCCTGATCCTAATGGAAACCTTTCAGGGTTCCCTCATACCACATCATGCCAATCCCATGCACTTTTCTGGATGCATAATTCAAGTCACTGTGACATTATTCTCAGCTAGGCTAGCAAATGTCACTGATGGTGAAAAAATCAAAAGTGAACCTGCTGAAGGAAGCAGAAGAAAACCTTTATGGAAATTTGCAGCATCTAAACACTAAAAGGTTGTGGGACTGTTTTCCTGAAGAATTGTTCTTGTTGAACAGGAGGAGCATGAAGTCTTGTACCACAACTGGCACACACGAGATGAAGATGTGCACCAAAACCTTGGGTCTTTCTCCCATGTCCCACTGGCCATCAGAAACAACAGGGTTGTCAGCTCTTTGGGGAAAAGGTAAGGGCCCTGCAAGACCACTGAAAGCCCCTTCCCAGAACACTTGTCAAGGAGCTTAGGCCAGCAGCTTAGAGTCACATGCCATTCTTTCACTTTGATTGCCACAGAGGATTGATTGGGAAAGAGAAGGGATCTGTCCGGTTTTTCCAGTATTCCAGCTCTCAGCCTCTTGGGGACCTGATGCTGAGGCAAAAGCCATTGCTCTGATCCTTTGTGTAACCAGGCTGCTGGCCTTGGACCCTGGCACCCTGTTAAACTCTGGAGCCCCACCACCTCTCCCCTGGCTGCTCTGCATACAGCCCTCAGATGTTAACCACCAGACCTCACACGGAAATGCAAATGTTTCACTTTTAGATGTTTATGAAGGTCCCCTCACAACACCTCTGGCTTCATATAATGCACAACAAAACACAATGGCAAAGGCCTGCAGATAGTTAAGTCATCTCACTGCAGAGCTAAGTTGTATAAGACCTCCAAAATCATCTTTTCCAGCCTGAGCCAACACAGAGCCTGGCATTGCACTCCAACAGCCAGCATATTTGGAAGCAAATGAAGGACCCACCACGGATGCCTGGCAATTTTGGAAGTGTAATATTACAAAAACTTATTAAAATCCATCTCAGAGTGTCTTGTTTCCACACACCACTTTTTTCCTCCTTTAATTATTTGATGTTCTCAGCTTCAGGAAACACCCCCCTGCCCTTGGAACTGGAGCAACTGTGTCACAGAGATCACAGTCCCTTTAAAGTTCATGTGGTTACAACATTGCTGTCCCACTTCTATCACAAACAGTGTCACTGCACATCTGGTCTGGCTGTGCCTGTTTTCTGCATGCCCTTTCCTGCCTAGGGATCACCTTGAGCAGATGTCGCTCTCCATCCAGCGGCTGGTGAGCAGCCATGGTGGCAGCGATCCAACGGAGGAAACTGATGAGCCATCATGTTTCCCCATCCAATGCCAGCAGGGTCCTGGCTTGATTGCCCTCTTTAAAATGCTGCTTCCAGATGGAAATTCCCACTTGGAGAAAACTCTCTAAAATGCACGTACCCATAGGACATTACTGGGCAAAAACAAGAAGAGGAGTCTGTTTATGTCTCTAAAGCCTACATCCGCACTAATCGGACTCCAGACCTTGTTATTCCTGTTGTGCTCCCTGCAATAGCTTACTTACACTGTCAACAGGAGGATGTATCAGGCCAGCCAAGCACTGACTGACTCAGCACAGTCAGAGCTTAAGAATTCCCTGAGGATGGATGGACAGAAGTCAGCATGGAGGACAGTCACCAGTGTTCAGCTCAAAATGGCTTCAGGGGGAAGATCTCCTACAAAATACAACAGCAGCAAGCTAATTTAAATCCCTTTTCCCAGCTACAACCTTTCTCTCCTTCTAGACAAAGATTAGAGGCTGTTTCAGTCTGACTAGTGTTTAGTATTCCCTGGCCCACGGTGGGAGATGCAAGAGACATGCACCATGGCAACATGAAGGTTCAACATGCTGCTTTTCCACAGCACCGAGTCTTGAACTACAGACCACGCTTTCCACATTTGCACCACATTTTCTGCGTGGTTCAGACACACAGACCTTCTCTGCTCCCCTCCACACTACAGACCTGCAACAATGCCCCAGTGCTCCTGCTGAAGAAGTCAATAAATGAAAAAACTTGTGGTGTATGCTTTACGATAGACACACTTCTCATAATGGCAAATGTGGAGGAAAGATGGAGAGAAGGTGGATGAAGTTCTTTGAACACTGCTTAGCTGCAAGGACATTATTTCTGCATATTTTCTTGAGCTGTCATTTCAAAGATGATGCTTTGAGTGGGATTTGTCTCACTCTGTTTTAGCTATCTACATCTGAGCAAGTCACCTTTCATATTCAATGCAGAGAAATAGGCATGTCTGGGGTGTGAATCATCTGATTTACTTTATGCATCTCCTTTAGACTAAGATGAATCACACTCCAGAAGTGCTTATTTTTCTCTATTGACTATAAAGGGAATCAAGATGAATACTCAGATAGAGTATAGACACCTACATTTGGTCAGATGACTCTTACCCTGCACCTGCTGAGACACATCTTGGGGTAACATCCTCCACACAGGCAATCATTACTCTCACTCTATCACTCATCCACGCCAAAGCCTACAACCAAGACAGCAGTTCACTTAAGATCCCTCTCCAAAATCTGCTACACATCCAGAGCCAGTACAGGGATCTGAACATCAGCCTGCTACAGAAATTAGTAAGGGAAATAAGTGGGAAATGTATTACTGTATTGAAGGAAGACTCAGAATGGAAGGGTAGAATTGGAGCAACTTGCCTGGAAGGAATTACCATTATTGGCATAGGAAATGGGATCCCATTAAAGACACTTAGTCCAGGGTGGGGTCTGGGGAACATAACCATTTCCATTGGCAACTGCAACAGCAGGAATCACAAATGTAAAAAAAAAAATAAAAAAAAAAAAAAAAGAGAGAGAGAGAGAAATTATCAACTATGACTAGCTTTTGAGTTTTTCACAAAACCCAAGAAACAGGTAAGCAAGCTGGTTGGAAGATTTCATTGAGAACCAGCTTGTCTCATGAACATGACACCTGGCACATACTGTGGTTTTTTAGTGAAATCAGTTAGAAACATTACCTTGCTTGACAGGACACTCATTACCCACAGTAATGTTTCCTTGACCCACCAGGACAAGTTCATAGACATCCTATCTGGATGTCCTCAAGGTTCAGAAATCATGTCCTGTTCACATCCATACCCCCAAGAGCACTCATGGCTGTCAGAGGTGTCCAAAAATACAGCATACACTTCTCACATGAGGCAGATACTAGCCAGAAATAACCAGTGTTTCCATTCAGCGTGGCTATCTACCCTTTGGTCTCCCAAGCATTCACTATACCCACATTCTGCAGCTATGCAAGGAAACATTCATTTGTCCTGGCCCAAGTCTCCAGCAAGAGATTTCCTAAGTCAGGGCATGGGAGGACAAGCTGGGTTCCTGCAATTGACGTGTGGAGTCATAGCGCTGTTGATATCCATTAGCACAGACCTATGAAATGTCCAGGACAAATATGAATTTTGGATAAACACAAACAGAGCATATTTTTATAACATGGATGAAGTATTAAAAGATTCTTTTATTTTTATAAAGACAATTCAAAACATCTGGAATCTCAAGTAAGTCTCTGTACACACTGTTTTAACTCAAACTCCCTGATATTTATGGAATTTCCCTTGCACTGCACTCTGAGCAGAGCTGACTGGCTGAGCTGAACCAGGCTTCTTTCCTGTGTTGGGAGAAACAGATGAACACAGAGCACCTGCTTTGGGTGGACAAACACAGTTAGCTGACAAGCCATTTTTTAATGGGAATATTTGGCTGAGTATCCATCCCAAAACGAGGCCTGAGTTTCTAAATACTCTGGCATCACAAAAGGACATGTGATTCCTTTCTTTATGGGCCCGGCATAGCTCCTCCTCTACTACCATAGCATCTGTCACCCTCTCCATGCAGCTCAAGAGTTGACTCAGCTGTAGGTGACTCATTTCAAACTCTGCTCTGAAAACAAAAGGCTCAGTGCTGGGTCCTTAGATATGGTAGTTGTTGCCGGTGCTATCTTTCCATAACAGAGGAAAAAAAATGAAGCCAAAGCAACAATGTCCTTCAGATTGCAACCTGAGGACTGCTATTTACCATCAGAAAGCCACACTTTCCTAACTCAGTATTTCCTCGGGGCTGCCACTGACTTTCTCTGCTTACCACAGCAGGAAGTTGCACCATATGACACCTGCCCAGAATACAGAGCATTTGGCTTAAAAAGCACAAAGTCATGGGGAAACAATGATTAACTGTAAATCGCCATGGAATCCAGTCCCCAGGGGAATACCTCCAGACAACCTAGCAAATTGGTATGGATGTACATCGGCTTGCCAGACTGCATCCAAGGCTAATTTAATGGAGTAATGCTGCAGCACAAACAGAGGCAAGATACTGCCTAGTCCTCCAGCTAGTTTCAGTGCTCTCTTTCAGAATATCCTGGATCAAAACTACTCCTATTAAGCTGGCATGCTTAAATGAGGCAAAAGAACATGATGTGTCAAATCTGTGCCAGCCTCTGAGGATCACTTTCTTCAGACAGATATTAAAGCTGGTCAGCACAGCCTCTGAAGCTTTTCATCCTGGATCATGCATGGGAAGAGGACATAAAAAGTTGAACTTATTTGGGGCTTTGTAGATCATTATCAGTGCTGTGAGGGTACTTCTACATTCAGTGAGGTCAATGGCAAGGCTCCCACTGCCTTCTTGGGGTGCATAGACAGGGAGTGTTAAACTGCACCCAGAAGCAGGGAGGAAATGTTATTGGAAAGCTGATAGAAAGTGCAGAGCTCAAGAGCAAGCTGGCACCCACCACCTTCAGCTGCAGCTACTTGGTGACTGTAAGCAGTACTCTTGAGGGACAGAAGTTTTATAGATTCAGATATCACTGGGATTTTCAAAGGCTAGCTGTCAATGGTGCAAAAGACCTCAACTTGCAGCTTTCTGGGACTAGGGAAAGGTAATTCACAGAAACATAAAAATTCAAACCTGTTTAAGAGATGACCTTCATTCAACAATCTTTTTTGAGTAACGACACAAGCAGTCAGGATAGACCAATTGTGCTATCAAGGCTCTGTTTCTAAAGGTTTTGCTATGTATTTAACTTTACCTCAGAAAACACCCTTTGCAGCAGACAGGAGCCTTGTGTTATATATAGAAATATGTGATAGCAATAGACAGAGAGGAGCCACAGGGCTGACAGTAGGAAGGGTCAGGGCTTTGAAGTCAGATCTGGGGCTCATCTCACTTGGTAAGAAATCTGGGGTCCATAGCAGGAGAATGGAGGCAAGGAGGCAATCCTTGGAGGGGTGAATTACAAGCTCTGTCTCAGAGAAGGAAATTTTTCTCTGTCCTTTGCCTTCCCCACAGTGCTGATCCTACTCTGGGGGCTTCTTCTACCTCAGCCTCTTGTCCCTGCAGCACAAAGGCAACCTCCCCCAAGAAAGCAACCACAGACCTGTACACAGACCTCTCTGCAGCAGCCAAGAGGCAAAAGAAGCTACAGCTGGGATCAGTTCTGCTTCTGGCATCTGTGTTCAAGCCCAGCTGCTCAGCTGGGGCCTTGCTCCTGCCTCTTGCCAGGCTGGTAACCTACAGCCAAATACCTCCGGGTTTGAACATCAGCATTCTCCACCTTCCTCCAGCACATGACCCTGTCCCAGTTTTGGATCACCCTCGTGGGTCACATTTTTCCTATCTCCCTCTTCCAGCTCTCCCAGTGGAGTGGCAGCATGGGGCCAAGAGTAGAACTCATCATTATCTGCTCCAACTCAATGAGCACCAGGCTCTGTGAGGGAAGCTGGGGTGCAGACCAAGGAGCTGAGCTTGGTTATCTCTATGTGGGATTCAGGTGTCCTGGGGTTAAGGGGAAAGCCAGTTCTGCCAGCACTCTGGGACAGCATGGCCGCTCCTCCTGAGGGATGCTGCTGTAGTGGGCACTCCATGTTCTCCCACTGAACTGAGTCACTCATCACCTGCCTGTCAAGGGTAAAGCTGGCCACGAGAATTGGAGACCAAAGTGTAAGGACAAACAGCACAGGGCTCAGGCAGGAGCATCAGTTCCCTCACAAGTGTCTGTGCACGGGCCTGTACAAACGCCCTCCCTGAAGGCCTCAGGCCCTTCCTCGCTGCTAGCACAGGCTGTCGGGCCGGGGTGCTCGGGAATGCCCCTCCTGCCCTGCCTGTCTCTAACCCTCCCTGAAGGGCTCAGGCCCTTCCTCGCTGCTAACACAGGCTGTCGGGCCGCGGTGCTCGGGAATGCCCCTCCTGCCCTGCCTGTCTCTAACCCTCCCTGAAGGGCTCAGGCCCTTCCTCGCTGCTAACACAGGCTGTCGGGCCGCGGTGCTCGGGAATGCCCCTCCTGCCCTGCCTGTCTCTAGCCCCCGCCAGCGCCTCCCTCCCCGCGCCGCCGGCCCACGGCTGCGGAAGGAAACTGCTCGCCATGGGGGGCTACACAGGAGACGAATTCCAGCGCTGGGGTCAAATTCCTCCAGCAAGGAATCTGGAAGTCCTTCAGTACTGGCTAAAGACTGCTCTCTGTCCCCTTGGCAGAACTGAGTTGCAACCAGCAGAGTGGTTTTCTGCT